ATACATACATACATACATACATACATACATACATACATACATGGATGGAGGGGCTGCGGAGTGGCTGCGTAGAGTGTTGGCAGTCTGAGTCGGGGTCGGGAGCACACAAGACTAACCGACTTGTGCTGTGTGCTCCCGACCCTTGCGCTGTGTTTCGGCTTCGGCCCCCGGCTCTCGCAGCCCACAGTGTAATCTAAGTCATACATACATACATACATACATACATACATACATACATACATACATACATACATACATACATACATACATACATACATACATACATACATACATACATACATACATACATACATACATACATACATGCAAAGATCTACCTAGTTTGCTGCCTGCCGGCGGCAATAGCATCCACCGTAGCACCATCAGCAGCACTTCAAGCCCCACAACAATAAGGAAGAAGTATTGCTCCGCCTTGGCTTCGACCCGGAGAGTGAAGCCTAATTCATGCGCGATTCGCTGAGCAGCAGTTGCCGAGGCAAGACTACACAGAACACCAAAAATATGGCAGGTGCATCCAGGTCGAGATTCAGGACCGCGGGAAGGCTATGCTATCCAACAACAACCAAATCGGTGTTGTTGGAGGGAAAAAATAGATTATCGCTCCGGAACTAATCTCGATTCATTTCCTGAGCTTTATGCCGTATCGTTGAGCATCATCGATGATATCAGCTCGTTATGCCGCGCCATCCAAAACTCCTGCTCCCCCTCCCCTTCCCCCGCTGCAGCCTTCACTTCCCAGCTACTGCCGCAACCCTCCGGCCCCATATCCACCGGCCTTAGATGCACCGCCAGGTCTGCACGACGCACAAAATGCTTCCAGCCAGGAAAGCACGCGCACATCAGCAACGCCAGGCTGTAGCACCCCTGCACATCCGCCAAGTTCTGGTCCGCCGCTGCTGGTACCACTGCTGCCGCTGCCGCCGGTTGTGCCGCCATATTTATGCCAAACACCCGGGCATTCAAATGTCTCACCAGCTGGCTGCCAGGCCCCAATACCTTGGTGTGCTGCTGCCATTCGCTTTTCGCGTGCAGGTTGGTGTACAGTCGACCTGGGTCACCGGGTTGAACGGGCTTGCCGTCCTCACCCACCAACACCAGCTCCCCCCACGTCCAGGAGTTATGGTACGTGTTGTGGTCCTTCGGGTAATCGCTCCAGCCCTGCAGCAGGAGCAACAACAGCAACAGCAACAGTAGCAGCATGGAGTACTGGTGCAACCCGGTGGCAGTAGCAATGGCTTCAGCTGAACATATCACCCATTCCTCAGATTGCGTCTGCGTGTACTACATGGACAAATGCAAGCCCGCATCTGGTTCGGTGTGACCCGAGCTTTGCTCCCCGGCCGACCCCCAGGCCGACCCCCACCAGCAACAGCACCCGCACACACACTACCATCACCACTTTGAGGACCTCGTCACGTACCTGATCGTGCGCCTCGATGCTAATCGTCACAGCAACCACCTGGGACGAGCAGTACGTATTGTATTACGAGGCAGTGACGAGCAAGCGTACATGTGAGGTGTCAACTGCGTAGGTTATGATTTACTGTGCAGAGCTTACACACACACCCTACGACGCCCCTTACATGACACGCTGGCCTCATCTCCCGCCCATCTCGCCTGGAGGCGCGCCCCTGCTCTTCTGCTTTATACAATTTCAAATGTCCACAGAACCTGTTAGGGCCCCCCCCGGTTAGGCTAACTGCCATTTCGTGTCCCATCAGGGCCCGGCCCGGCGAAAGGGTAGGTGTAGCAAGCTGTTTAGCTGTCAATTTTAATAAGGCTCTGAAACAGCGCACTTTTTAAATCTATACATATATTGGATCTGGATTTTCCTTCTCCGATTTCAAGTATCGGGCTCGCCCCAAGTAAAACGCATATGCGCACGTACAGATTTTTTTTCAAGTCCCGCTGCCTCAATCACGCCAAATTAAAAGAACATCCTTCCCGGTCATGTGTTACCTCGTAATGGGTTGCTCCGAAACCCGGAACGTACGGCTTTGCTAGCGGCAGCCGCAGGTACGGCACCTTGTTCTTCATAACACTTGCCTCCACTGCTTTCCGTACAACGAGGGTGGTCTCGAACCCCAGGCGGTACAAGCCTTCCCTACAGGGTTCAGGGCATTAGAACCGTGTTCAAGTGATGGAAAGTTGACGACCAGGCACACGTGTCCTTACATATATTGGCTAAGCCTCCCGAGAAAACGAGGGTGCATGTGAGTGTGAGTGTGTGAGTGTGTGAGTGCATGTGTATGTGTGAGTGCATGTGTATGTGTGAGTGTGTGTGTGTATGTGTGAGTGTGTGTGTGTGTGAGAGAGAGAGTGCATGTGCATGTGTGAGTGTGTGTGTGAGTGCATGTGTATGTGTATGTGTATGTGTGAGTGTGCGAGTGCATGTGAGTGTGTGAGTGTGTGAATGTGTTAATAGAACTGACATCTGAAATGAACAAAGGTGCCACGACACGTACCTTCCTAGTACTTAACATCCCGCCCATCCTACACACCCACGCTTTCTCTCCCATCTCCTGCAGCGACCCTCGCCTATTCATGCACCCAGCCAAACCAAAGCCCTGAAACCCTACCCAACCACCAAACTGCCAACCACCCACCGGATATCGGTCGGCTTAGCGTTCAGGAAGCACATCAAGTCGTGATCGGCCTCCAGCCTGGCCACCAGCGTCTCCATCTGTTGCGGTGTCACCAACCGTAGCGGTAAACCACCGCTGCCGCCATCACCGCCACGCACTCGCTCGGCGCCTTTTATCTCCGGCGTACATGTATTGGTGGGTCGGAGGCAAGGTAGCTGGTAAAAGGCGGCCTGAGTGGCGAGGATGTTGGTTTCAGAAGACAGGAGTGGGGACAGAGGACCGGAGGTGAGGTGTGCGTGCCGTAGTAGAGCATGCAGGGACAAAAGAGCTTAGTTGTGAACTTCGTGGTGGAACTTATCACATAATGGATAATAATGTGGACCAGGCTGCTAGGTTCAGGTATGCAGCATGGGGGCTGTGCAGTGTCGATAGCACCTGGTTGAGGGAAACTTCTGGTCGGGTCTGGCGACACCTCTGTGCAGGTAAAGGTTTAGGGTTTAATTCCTGGTCAGACCCTCCACGATAATCAGGAGAAATAGGTTTATGAATCACTGCTAAGGTGTGGAGATGAGGTCTAGTTGATGGACTACATTTCGCATGCTGAGTTGCTGGTGATGGCTGGTCTGTCAGTCTACGGATGTCGGGTGACTGGATGAGGAGGGGTCTAGTTAGCAGGACCCAAACCGCCGTCGGTGGTAAGGTGTAATCAACTCCATGGCCTCACGGCTTTGATGGACCCCCCCACACTTGTGCAGCACGTGTGATTTCTAACATAACGAGGCTACACCTAAAATACAAACTACTGCAAGCCGGAAATTCGCTTTTGGCCATGAACACGGCAAGGTGAGACAACGTGCCTGCTTGAGGGGGGGCCAACTTGTCGCTGCTGTGCGGTCCTGGCTCATGGCAGCGTTGAGTTGCTCGGTGTCCATCATTGCGACCCGCAGCAGCTGTACTTCCAGCATAAGATCCAGGAAGGCCCGGCAACCAAGGAAGTCTGCAGCACATATGGCTGCCGCAAGAGTTGGGGTGTTCTGGAAGAGGAAACTGGGAAGCCATGCACTTTTGGGCTGAACATTGGCTTGTGCGGCAGCCTCTTGCATGGCCCAGGCATCTAGGGTTGCCAGGCCTTGTGTAGAGACTCTACCAGGAACGCAGGGCACGACAATTCGACGCGCGGGATCGCTGGCTGTCTTGCCAGGGTCGGTGGTGGAGGCATCTACACCGAGATCTTGGACTTGAAGGGAAGCTTGTTCCTCATCGGCTCTGCAAAAATCTAGCAGCTGCCTTCCCACGTCGCACCGACTGGCAAGCGCAGCGGAAATGCTGGCAGATCGATCACCTTCATCTTGCCATTCCTCCGAAGCACGTTCAGCTCGTCTGCCTGCTGAGGTGTTAATGCTATACTTCATCAAACCCTGCATGTCACCGTCATTTGAGGGGCACATTCCATAAGCTATGACTTCTCGAAGCAAAGTATGAGTGTAGGGATAGGCAAGTTATGAGGATGAAGAGGGGGTGCGGGGGCATGTTTTCTTGTAAGTTGGTGCGGGAGGATGATGAAGCGATGGTGAGTCTGAAGACGGGGAATCCAAACGGCGGGGGTTTCAGGACAGCCAGCATGTGCGTATGTGTGTGTATCTGGGGGGCGGGGGAGACCAGGGGGGGTCAATTGTGGGTCGGGAGGGCACACGGGTGATGTATGTATGCATGTATGCATGTATGCATGTATGCGTGTATGCGTGTATGCGTGTATGCATGTATGCATGTATGTGTGTATGCGTGTATGCGTGTATGCGTGTATGCGTGTATGCGTGTATGCGTGTATGCATGTATGCGTGTATGCGTGTATGCATGTATGCGTGTATGCATGTATGCGTGTATGCATGTATGCATGTATGCATGTTTGTTGGCTTAGACGCGACGGAGCGAAGCGACCGGAGCTTCTAAGGCTGGTTCTGTGGTACTGTCGTACAACTGGTTCGCAGTGGCGACTTCATTCTCACCGCTCTCCTGGTGAAGTCATTCTGCCTTCACGCAGAAGAGCATACAGCCTTGTCCAATAGTCAGTGTGACAGGCTGTACTTGAAGCCTTACCATTTCAAGTTCCGATCTACATCGCTCGAGTTCCTACGGTTCCGACTTAGTTCCTTCAAATTTCAACTATTAATGACAATGCGCCATAGACAGAGACCGTAGCTACCGTTCCAGGTGGGGCTGGTGGTGGGTTGGGCACCATCGGGTCCTCCCCGCCGGCCAGTGCTGCTAAGACGGGCGCTGCTGTTTTAGAAACAGTAGTGATGAATGCCCTAGAGAAGGTCTCTGAGAAGCGCTGCCGGGACGATCGGGCCGCTTTGGAGCAGGCAGATGAGTTTCGCGCGGATGTTATGGCTAATGAGCAGAGATCACTGCTTTAACAACATCACCGGCACACGGATCCCAAAAGGTGAAAAAGCGGAGGCCCTTGTGCAGACTGGGCCTTGCGGACGGCGAGCGCCTCCACACCTGGCAGTCATGGTGGCAGCCATTCTCGCGGCGCTGGAGGCTCCGGCAGTGGAGGCAGCGGTGGCGGATCGCGCGGCAGCAGCCACAGGGGTGGCGGCCAGCGTGGAGGTCATGAGTACGGTGGAGGTCGCGATGCAGAGCGCTTGATCGCAGCGATCGCAATGGCAATAGCCGCAAGGAAGGCCGCAGCGGCAAGTAGTGGTTTTCAGGCGCTGGCGCAGTAGAGTGGGGCCCGTGTGCCTGTCTTTTTCTTGGCCCGTGTGCTGCTTCTTCTCTTCAAGGACCATCGCCGGTCAGTGCAGAGTGTGCAAGTTTTCTTTCTTCTTTGGTTATGATGAGGTTGCCAGCGAGCATCGATTAGGCACCCGTGCGTGCGATTGAGGCGCCCGTGTGCGCGAAATTTGGTGCCCGTGTGCACAGTTGTTGGCGCCCATGTGCGCAGTTTTGGCGCCCGCGTGCGCAGTTGTTGGTGCCCGTGTGCGCAGTCGTTGGCGCCGCGTGCGCAGTTGTTGGCGCCGCGTGTGCAGTTGTTGGCGCCGTGTGCGCAGTTTTGGCGCAAGCGTGTGCAGTCGTTGGCGCTGTGTGCGCAGTTTTGGCGCCCGCGTGCGCAGTTGTTGGCGCCCGTGTGCGCAGTTTTGGCGCCCGCGTGCGCAGTTGTTGGCGCCCGTGTGCGCAGTTGTTGGCGCCTGCGTGCACAGTTGTTGGCGTCCGCGTGTGCAGTTGTTGGCGCCCGTGAGTGCAGTTGTTGGCGCCCACGAGTGCAGTTGTAAGCTGTGTTGACGACCTTTTTTACTCGCGGTGTTTTGCCTTCCCGCTTTCCTCCTTTATATCGCGTTCACATTTTGAGGTTGTGAACAGACCGTCACACGGGTTCACTTTGTGGCAGCGTTTGCCTTTTTTCCCTTTTCGGATAATTCGCGTCAGGCCAAGTGGCCACTCAAGTCGCCTCGGCAGCCGGCCGGCTGGGGGACCCGTTTTTTGCCTGTCTTACTCTTTAAGTGTTGCTCCACTTCTCGCCTCGCCCGTGTCTCCAACAGTCTGTCCGGTGCACGCTTGCAGGCCTTCATAGCCGCCAGTAATTCCAGCCTGAGGAACCATGGATTCGTTCTCGCACGATGATGCTATTGCCTTCCTGTCCGAGCTAGGGGTAGAGGCCCTCTCGAGTCTGGGCCTTGTGGAAAACGTCCAGCTGTCCGTCAGTCCGTCCGTCAGTCCATTAGTCCGTCCAGCCAACTCAAAGGGCAGCGTCTTTTAGGTCAGCCGCGCGGCCCACCCACCGCAGCCCCCGAAGACTTGCCAGCCCCCAAACGGCCCGCACCGGGCCCCATCCCTGCCCGTCGGCCAAAGCTGGACCCCGCACCAGTTCCGGCAAGTCTGGCCACGCATCGGAAACAACCAGCCCGCCCCGCGGTGGCGCCAGAAGGTGTGAAGGTTGAGGCCCCGGGTGAATTCTGGGAAGATAAAGGGGAGTTTTCTTGTCCTACTTTCGACAACGCCTCGGGATCTCGGTCGACTCCAGTAGCGGGTCCGCCTTCCGTGCCGCCCCAGATGAGGGGACGCCTCTCGGGCAAGAAAGGCGCTTGGAAGGCTTGGGTCGTGAACGCGCTGGTCATCTCGTGGATCACGTCGGGTTTCCCACTCCGTTGGGTCTCCAGCCCTCCCCCCCAGCACTCCGGCCGCAATCACGCTTCGGCAACTGCCAACACCGCGTTCGTGGACAAAGCCGTAGCAGATCTGGTGGCGTCGGGCACAGCCCGTGTATGGCTGTCGCAGCCCCGCGTGGTTTGCCCATTGGGGGTCGTGCAGCAGGCAACTAAGCTCCGGCTTATTTGGGACGGCAGGCCGGTAAATAATTACTTGCACGTCCCCTCCTTCTGCTACGAAGACTTGAAGGCGGTTCCTGGTTGGCTACTCCCAGGCGATTATCTTTTTACTTTGGACCTTAAAAGCGGCTATCATCACCTCGATATCGATCCCAGGTTCTGGGAATATCTCGGCTTCTGCTGGAGAGGGGTCTTCTATGTCTTCACACAACTGCCTTTCGGCCTCGCTTCCGCTTGCTGGGCGTTCACTAAGCTCATGCGAGAGGTCATGCACCCCTGGCGCAAACGCGGCTGGCGATGCTCGGGCTACATAGACGATCAGGTTCACGCAGACCAGAACGCCGATAACTTGGTCCGGCGCAGGGCCGAAGTGGTTGCTCAGTTGGAGACGCTCGGTTTCCTGGTCAATAAAGAGAAATCTATGCTGGGGGCCGTGCAGCATCGCATTCGTTACTTGGGCATGCTTATCGATACCAAGGACAGCGTTTTCATCGTGCCAGGCAACAAGCGGGACCGCCTCTTATCTCAGATCAACAGTGTGCTCACTGCGCGGCGCTCGACCGCCCGCCTATTGGCATCCATTAAAGGCCAACTCCTGGCCATGTCTTGGGCCCTCGGACCTTGGGCCCGGCTGCGCACCCGAGCTCTCGGTCAACTTATTGAAACTCGGCAGACCTGGGAAACCCATCTCTCCCTCTCTGACGACGCACGGGAGGAGCTGTCTTTCTGGGAGTCGTCCTTTGATCGGTTTAACGGCCGACGACACCTGTGGGTTCCGTCCGTGGTGCATTCCCTCATTTTTTGCGACGCCGCAGGCAAATCCTCCGAGTCCCTCGGAGGTTGGGGGGCCTGGACCATCCTCAATGGCCGGTTAGCGCCAGCGCGTGGCGAGTGGACACCCGACGTCAGTGCTATGGGATCTACCCCGCAGGAACTCCAGGCCATTCTGAACGTGATTCAATCTTTCGATAGCCCAGCCGGTTTATCTGGTCAGTCGGTTAAGGTCATCACCAACAACCTTAATGCAGCGAACGTAGTCAACAAGGGCTCCGCTAAAGCGGACAACTCCCACAAGGTCGCCTGCGAGCTGCTTAGCTTTTGTTTCGAGCAGGATATCCGCCTGCAAGCGGAGTGGCGACCCCGCGGCCAGAACCAGCTCGCCAATGCGCTTTCGAAATTGCAAGAGCCTGACGACTGGATGCTGAAGCCCAGCATATTCCGCAGGCTTCACGACACCTGGGGCCCCTTCAACATCGACCTATTTACGTCCCACGCGGCTTTCCAGCTCCCCGTGTACTATTCCCGCTATTTCACCTCAACGACGTCCGGAGTCGACGCGTTCAGGTTCTCATGGGGGCGCAGGTGCTGGGCGAACCCGCCCTTTCACCTCCTCCTCAGGGTACTGCAGCACGCCGAGGCCTGCCAGTCCCGGCTTTGCCTTGTCGCGCCTTTCTGGCCTACTCGCGACTGGTGGCCTTTTATCACAGCCGACGGGGTCTGATTCAAACCTTTCGTGAGTGGAGTTCGCTTGCTCGGCCGGGCCGCGGATGTCTTCCTGGCCCGCACTTCGGGGGCCCCCCTGCCCAAAGGCGCTTCCCGCTGGTCCACCTTGGCCCTTCTGGTCGACTTCTCGGCCGCTAACATCAACCGTATCCGTGTCCCCGCTGATCTGACCGTGCCCCTCGCACAGACTTAGATGCCCGGGCTGAGGCTCTTTTGGTCGCTCTTGGCGCGGAGGCGGACACGGAGCTCTCCACCTTGGCGACTCAGTTTGCCCAAGTGGCCGGTCAGACACTCGCCCCGCGGACATCCAATGATTACGCGCGGTCTTGGGAACCCTTCCGTGAGTGGTGGGTGGCCAGGCAACTGCCCGGAAGCATCTATGACACCCCGGGTGAGGCGGTGGCGCTCTATCTGCTCTCCCTGCTGAACTCGTCCAAGGAAGATAAGGTGGGGCCTGGACGGGTTCGTACAGCGAGTGCAGCAATCAGCTCCCACTTCCGCCTAGCCGGCAGAGCGCCCCCTACAGAGCACCCTGCCTGCAGCATCGTCCGCGACCTCGCCGAAAAGCAACTCCAAGGCCGTAAGCTGGAACGCGACACCCTGGAGCCGGCGGACGTCATGGCGCTGGCCTGGCTGGTCGGTGGGCCGGAGCCGCCTCTCGACCAACTCATGACCGTTACGGCCGTCATGGTCATGTTCGCGGGGTTCTTTCGGTTCGATGATGCTGCGGAGATCAGCGTTCACAAGGACCTTCTGGTTATCACGGCAACTGGGATGGATGTTTTCATCCCTCGATCCAAGACTGATCAGCAGAGACAGGGTCACTGGGTTCCCATCGCCCGCGTCGGCGGTGCCGCTTGCCCCGTGGGCCTGACAGAGCGCCTCCTCACCCTAGGAGGGTACAAACGCCGCCCAGACACGCCAGACGAGGACGTCGGGCCCCTTTTGCGACCGGTCCAGTGGAACAGGGCCGGGGGGTACTTGTCAGGCCCCCTGACAGGCACGGTGGCCCAGCCGATCCACTCCCTGTCGTACCCTGCCTTCTGCCACCGGCTCAACAAGACCCTGCAGGCGGCGGGGATCACCCACCGCATCACTGCGCATTCCATGCGCATAGGAGGAAATAGCACTGCCGCCGACCGCGGTGTGCCTGCGGACCTGCGCAAAGCGCACGGCCGGTGGCGCAGCGACGCCATGGTGCAGCACTACACACGGCGCGACGGGGAGGCGAAACTCTCCGTCTCCCGCAGCCTGGGCCTCGCCAGTGAGCAAATGTCTCTTCGGTCTGCTGTGTAAGGCCCTTGGCAGCGGTGCAATTCTCGCCAACAAATCGTCCAAACCGCACCGTTCAGCACCATCAGGTCAGCCAATCCTCCGCCACCAGAACCAGTTAAGGGAGACAGTAACACAGAATTGTTGGCTTAGACGCGACGGAGCGAAGCGACCGGAGCTTCTAAGGCTGGTTCTGTGGAACTGTCGTACAACTGGTTCGCAGTGGCGACTTCATTCTCGCCGCTCTCCTGGTGAAGTCATTCTGCCTTCACGCAGAAGAGCATACAGCCTTGTCCAATAGTCAGTGCGACAGGCTGTACTTGCCCCCCGCCCGCCCTGTCCCTGTCAGCCCCTTGCTTCCTTTTTTCCGCTATCCCCAGTCTTGCCCCAGATGCAGCACTGATTGGCTCGGCCTGGCGTCGACGGGCTCCTGAGAGGCGCCCTCCCCCCCTCAGCATGGTGGCAGGGGGAGGCAGCACGCGCGCGGGAGGGGGGTGGTTCAGGGGGCGGGCCGAGGCGCCCGCATCCGGGATGAGGGGGAACACCCCTTGGGGTTGGTGCCTGGTCGCTTCTGGTCAGTCGGGCTTTGTCTGGTGCGAAAGTCTTCGGGGCGCGCGGGTGCTGCAGTGCTTTTGTTTCTTAGGTTAGCTTTGTTTTGGTTTTTGGTGTTGGGCGCTGGCGCCCTTTCGCAGTGTGTTCCGGACTGTTGGCTGTCTGGTGTGTCGCGCCGTGGTCGGCCGCGCGGCCCCCGTGGCTACGGGCGGCCTGCTGGCCGGTTGGGCCGTGCGGCCACTGATAGGCTTGGCTGTTTGCTCTTTCTGCTGTGTAAGGCCCTTGGCAGCGGTGCAATTCTCGCCAACAAATCGTCCAAACCGCACCGTTCAGCACCATCGGGTCAGCCAATCCTCCGCCACCAGAACCAGTTAAGGGAGACAGTAACACAGAAATGCATGTATGCGTGTATGCATGTATGCGTGTATGCATGTATGCGTGTATGCATGTATGCATGTATGCATGTATGCATGTATGTGTGTATGCGTGTATGCGTGTATGCGTGTATGCGTGTATGCGTGTATGCGTGTATGCGTGTATGCGTGTATGCGTGTATGCGTGTATGCGTGTATGCGTGTATGCGTGTATGCGTGTATGCGTGTATGCGTGTATGCGTGTATGCGTGTATGCGTGTATGCGTGTATGCGTGTATGCGTGTATGCGTGTATGCGTGTATGCATGTATGCATGTATGCATGTATGCATGTATGCATGTATGCATGTATGCATGTATGCATGTATGCATGTATGCATGTATGCATGTATGCATGTATGCATGTATGCATGTATGTATGTATGCCCCCCGCCTTAACCAACAACCTTCACTCACCCTGCTTTGCCCGGACGGAGCAGGCGACAAGGAGGAGGAGGCGGAGACGGCAGCGGCGGCAGCGGCTGTGCCCCCCGCCACGTGCCCCCCTCCCCCTTCCGGGCCCCCCTGGACCCTCTTCCCGGCGAAGGGAATGGACGCCGCCAGCTCCCTCATGAAGGTGTTCATGGAGGCCTTCAGACTGCCCAAGTTGGTGGTGGTGGTGGCGGGGGAGGAGGCGCCCAACCCGACCCCAACATCGCCACCCACTGAGGGGCCAGCAGCACCGCCGGTTCCTCCTCCCGTTGCCGTACTCGTCCCTCCTCCTGCTTCCCCCCCTCCCGCTCTGCCGCCCAGCTGCCCCGCCTTCAGCTGATAACAGCCCATGAGGTCGGACAGCTGCTTGCGGTTGAGAGCCTGAGGGAGGGAGAGGGAGGAAAGGGGGAAAGACGAACCACAAACGAGTGAAGCTGCTGCCAGGGCAAGAGTGTACCAGACGTAGAACTGACCGAAAGGCGTCCGTGAAGACCGCGACTTCGGGATGACGAAGTGAAGAGGATGTCGGAAAGACTACCTACCTAAGCCGCCAGGACTAAAAAAGCAGAAGAAATAGTATTGCCAAGCCGTAAAAAAGTAGGTGTAGAGAAGTAGGTGTGAAGGCGGCGGAAAAGTAGTAAAGCAGTGCTGTCGTAAAGCTGGCATAAAGTTTGCTGCTGGCCTGGAGAATTAGCTGATTTGCTGGTACTGAAAGGCTGTCGGTATGCAAGTGCTCCTCCCAAACCCCCAAACTAAAACGCGCGACCGACCCGACCGACCCGACTATCCTAGTCCGGCTAGCCGACCGACGCCAACGCAATATACCGAAGAAGCTCGAACCACCCT